TGTGTGAGGCGTTGCCTCCTGAATACAGATGATTCGTGTCACCTCTCGCGTCTCTTTTCGGCACGTGATGCTGCCGCAAAGCACGGCATCACCATGGCAACGAAGCCGGCAGCAGATGAGAGTGTGTGTGTGTGTGATGACACAATGACAAATAGGTTTGAATAAAATTAAAACAACCTGTGAAGGAAACAGAAAGAAGGTGCTGTGTTATATGTTTACTTTATTGATCTCTGTGAAGAAGATCACTCATCATCCTCTTCTTCTCTTCCTCTCTGAGATGTAGATGTTCACATTGACCACTCCCATGTCTGTACAGCAGCTGGTTAGCCTAGCGTAGCCTCTCAGTTTTGGTCAAGTTCCTCGTTTTTGGTACGGTCCCCTTAGTTTTGGTAAAATACAGTGAAAGTTAATGTTAATTTAACCCTTGTCTTTGCCTCACAGGTGTGCTGGACTTCAACGGGACGGCGGACTCTCCATCCCGTCCTTCATCACCCTCCTCCCCTTCAGGACCCCCAGCCCCCAGCCCTCAGATTTCAGATCCCGGTTACCATGGTAACAGCGTTGGCACCGGCGGCTCAGTAGAGGACTCGGACTCTGGCGCTCAGGGGATCCACCTCCTGCTGAGACCTCCGGACCTCCTGTCCCCGAGCCTTCCCCCAGCCCTGCCCCCTCAACACACCCAGCCCACCCTCACCCCTCCTCCACCCTGGGAGCAGGACCCCTCCCTGGAGGAAGAAGCGTGGGGCTCCGGAGACTACCTGGAGACTCTGTCCTTCATGGTGCCTGACGGAGAGGAGCTGGCCCTGGCCACACCACTACCCAACCACCCCTATGACGAGGACCTAGGTAGCGACTGGGTCTCCTATGACACCGCCTTCCCCGCCCGTCCCACCGTTCCCCTTTCCCCACGCCTCCCTCTCTCACCCTCCTCCTCCACCCCCAGCATCCTGCTGCACACTCGCCCCTCCCATCCGGACGTCTTCCCCAACTGGGACGAGGACTATGACCTAGAGGACATGATGCCTCTGGAGCCGACGGAGCTGCTGCTGCCGGACATGAACAGTATGGAGTACTACACCAACCTGCTGGCCCGGGAGAGAGAGAGGGAGAGACACCAGGACCCGGTGGACTGGACTGACTCCAAACCCCCCATCACTCCCACAACAACACAAACTCACCGTCCCTATTCATCTTCCTCTCCATCCCCAAGCTCTGGTCCTCCTCCAGAACAGGAGTCCAAGCATCCTCTAGAGGGGCCCACCCCTCCCCTCACCCTCTCACCCACTCTCGCGGGTGAGGAGAACCCACCTCCACCGCCAACCACTATAAAAACTGCTTCTCCTCCTGATCTAAAACCCAAAGAACGTGCCCCGGCACCGGGCAGACCCCCTCCTCGTCCCCCTTCCAACACCACTGGCTGGGTACCTCCCCCTCCCCCGCTAGGACCTCCCACCCGCCCCGACAGACCAGAGAGGCCTCCAGTGGTCACGGAGAAGCCAGTGAAGGCTCCACCCACCAGGACCACTACTAAGGCCACAACCACTGCCATCACCACCACCACACAGATCACAGCCATCAGCCTGACCAGAGCCCCCCCGGTCACGACAACCAGAATGGCCCAGACCTCGCCCACCAGACAGTACCTGTGTAACATCACCAAGCCGGAGATGTACCTGGTCAGAGTAGGTGAGTAGGTCACATGACAGCAGCACCGGGTCCTGTAGGTTATGTGATCAGAAAGATCTTGATCAGCTAATCTGTTTCTTTTTTCTCCTGCAGTCAGTTCCAAAGGTTCGTCAGCAGGTTTCACTCAAGTCAGAGATCTTCTGAAGAGAGAGTTCAACCGTTCAGTGGAGCTCCAGGTACAAACACCACCTCCTCAACCTCCTACACCAAAAACACCTCCCACAAACACCATCTCTCGTTAAAGAAAATTCTCTAGTTTTAGTTGAGTTATTGATTAGTTATTCTCACCTGTTGTACTTGATTGATTAAAGCTATTGATGTCAGATGATTGACAGCCATCTGTCTCTGCCGCCTCATCAGTTCCTGAGAACTCCGTCCAGTTTTGCCTTCCGCGTCGTGTCGGGACCGTTGATCTTCACCGCCATGTCGGTCATCAACGCCCTCCGCCAACCGCCACGCGGTTCCGGCCCGGTTCCCACCGTGTCGCCACTCTACACCGTACCTGACTTCAAGTACCAGATCCACTCTGTGATGCAGTTCGTCCCCGCCCACATCGACATCAGAGTCTGTAACTTCAGCGAGCGTGTCGAGAGAGGGCTGATGATGGCGTACGCCGAGACGCGGAGACGATCGCACGAGGCTGGAAACGTCACCGTACAGGTGAGCCTCTCACCTTCAAAATTAATGAATGAGTCTTTCAAAAAAATCAGCAGCATCTGTACACCTGTGTGTTCTCCAGCTGTTGAACATCTCCATGTCTGTGAGCCGGCCAGCGGCGGCGGCGTCGGAGCAGAAGATTTCCGTCGACATCACCTTTGCGGTGCGTGATGGGCGGGACTACCTGCTGGGGTCAGAGGTCAGCGAACACCTGAGGAAGCTCAGTCTGGTCGAGTTCAGCTTCTACGTCGGATTTCCCGTCCTTCAGATCGCAGAACGTACGAAGTTTGTTTGTACACACGTGTTAATAATGTCATTTATGTTTTTTAATATATATGAAATATATAAATGTGTGAAAAACACACTTTGAAATGTGTTAAATATGTGAATAATGTGTGTTAAACAGCTTTCCACTACCCTGAGCTGAACACGTCTCACCACCTGCGCTCCACCTGGGTCCGTACAGGTGAGAACACGTCTGCTTCAGTCTTTTGGTAGAATTTTCTAAAAGAATATTGTTTACTGTGTGAATGTGTGTTTCAGTCCTGTTGGGAGTTCAGGAGCAGATGGTGGCCGAGAAGAGTTTTAAAGCTCGTCTGGAGAGACGTCTGGCTCTGCTGCTGGAGGAGAGTCTGCAGGTCACCAGCAGGAGGCGCTGGAGCAGAGCTACAGCTGTGGGCAACAACAGTCTGCAGGTATGGACACACCTCTGTCGACACACCTCTGTCGACACACATGTACAGAGATTACAACCCGATGAAAATCAGTGAACAAGAGTTTCTGAACGACACATCAGTGTTGGTTCTCTCTTCTTCTCTCCTGAATATGTTCATCACCTTTAACCTGTCGTTTCTCAGGTGGTGCGGGTGGCGAGGCTGTCGGGGGCGGAGCGTCCTCTGGAGGTCTTCTACTTCGTGGAGGGTCCAGGTGGTGAGCGGATACCTGCCGAGGCGATGGCGGTCACCCTGAACCGTCTGGACCTTCAGAGAGCCGCCATCGTCCTCGGACACCGCGTCCAGAGGCCAATCGCCCAACGTAAGTCTAGAGAAGTCACCTGTCTCTGTCCTCTCACCTGTCTCTGTCCTGTCTCTCACCTATCTGTCTCTGTCTCTGTTCTCTCTCTAATCTGTCTCTCACCTGTCTCTCTCCCATCTCCAGCTGTGGAGACTCTGTCTGTCCCTACAGCGGAGACTCAGAGCAGCAGCATCTGGCTGATCGTCGGTGTGGTCGTCCCCGTCCTGCTGGCTGTCTTCATCATCATCATCCTCTACTGGAAGCTGTGCGGCTCAGAGAAGCTGGAGTTCCAGCCGGACGCCATCAACACCATCCAGCAGAGGCAGAAGGTCAGAGGTCAACAGGAAGTAGTTCTGTCTTTCCTGTCGTCCACTCTAGCAGCTGATTACCGTGTCCTCTTTTCAGCTTCAGGCTCCGAGCGTCAAAGGCTTCGACTTTGCAAAGCTGCACCTGGGTCAGCACAGCAAAGACGACATCATGGTGATCCAGGAGCCCGGCCCGCTGCCGGCCCCCGCCAAGGAGGCCACGCCCTCTGACGGCGGAGACCTCAATACCCCCAAATCTAAAGGCTCATCCACAAAGGTTGCACGGAACAGCCGCCGCCGGGGCAGGTAGGACGCCCAGGTTCAGGTTTCTATACATGTCTGTAAAAACGTCCTTTAAATAATAATGGTCACTAAAAGGTTTTTTCACAAATGTCCAAAAAAGATCCAAAACAGTCCAGACATTAAACTCCCGTCTCTCGTCCTTCAGACTCAGCCCATCAGACGGAGACTCGTTAGGCAGCGACCAATCGAGCGGCAGAGAATCGGCAGAAGAAAGCAGTCGACCTGTGGTCACGCCCAGCGAGGGGAAGCAGCACAGGAAGACACCAAAAAATGGTCAGAGACACTGTGACATCACCAGCTGTGGTGTGTGTGTGTGTGTGTGTGTGTGTGTGTGTGTGTGTGTGTGTGTGAGTGATGTTTCCTAGAGATTTACTGTGTCACAAGGAAACTGTTGATTAAGAAGAAAAAACACCTGTGAGAGAGGAGGAGGAGAAGAGAAGAAAGAGGAGGAGGAGTAGGAGAAAAAAGAGAAGAGGAGGAGGAACAGGAGAGGAAAGAGAGGAGGAGGAGAAGAGAGAGGAGGAGGTTGAATGAGCTAATCAAATCCGTTTCATGTCTTTTCTTTTTGATGCTTCTGGACTGAAGGGAGGAACAAGTTGGGTAAGTTTCTACCTTCATCTCCTGATAGATTAAAGCTAATCATCAATCGATCAGATGCTGATAAGCTGGTGAAGAAGGCGGAGCCTCTGTCTCATACGTGTTATTCTCACATGACGCTCCTTTAGGCAGCGGTCCAGACGAGCTACTGTCCTCGTCCTCCATCTTCGACCACGTCGACCGTCTGTCCCGCGGTTCGTCCAACGGGACGCGTCGTCAGGCCAACAAGGTGCAGTTGATCGCCATGCAGCCGCGACCGAGTCCGCCGTCGCACCTGAGCCCCACCCTCACCGAGAAGGTCAGCACAGAGGTGAGACCGCTGCCCCCGATAAAAACCGCACCCAGAAAGACACAGTTCTTGGAGTTGCAACCATCGGGGATTGTTTATTGCGCACAATGACAAGTTCACGACGAATCCAAATTGTCAGAGTGCTTACGTCTGGCTTTATACCTTTGGTGGACTGTACCTTCCAGTCAATCGATCAAATCCCTTCAACTGAACCAAAAACAGAACGCATCTGGACTGCTTCCTCTTTGTCTGGAAGGTTCTGGCAGGTCAAATGATATTTGTACGGGAAATGTTTCCTGGCATGATTCTTAACTAATGTCTCTCGGAGGAACTTCATCACAATGTTCTGCTTATCTAAACATGTCCTCATATACTACTTCATTTTCCTGGCATGGCTCTATTAACCACCTCTCACAGTGGCTTCTCTGGGAACAGTTTGGTGGAGATGTATTTATGCAACCAAATATGCTGGGTTCAACATAACGAGTTATTATGAGGATTCTCTTCAACAACGTTTGAAACCGGACTGACTGTTCATCATCGTTCCCCTGTGCTTTTCCTGCAGGTGGCGCTGAGACACAAGTCTGAGATCGAGCACCACAGGAACAAACTCCGGCAGCGCGCCAAGAGGCGTGGCCAGTGCGAGTTTCCCTCGATGGATGACATCATGGACGCATTCGGAGACGGGCCGGTGCAGGGCGAGGTTGCGCAGCGTCTCTACAGCTCCGCCCACGACCACATGGACTGCATCCTGCAGGGCGACAACCACTCGCCCCTCACCCCCACCGACTCCAGGAGGTCAGACCTGAGAATCCTGTAGAGTTAACTCAACTCATATTGTTTATTATTTACTATATTCATGAATAAAGTCTGGGCTGTAAAGGAAAAACGGTGTCTTTGTCCCACTCCAGAGGGAGGCGCTCTCCTCGAGGTCGGCGAGCTCAGCCAGGACCCGGAAGTCTTCCTGATACGGACCGAGACCGGCTGCTCACCGATCACAGCGCCACCTACAGGAAATACCCGGGATTCAACAACGTGGCCTACATGGTGAGACGAAAACCAAGTTTAACCAGGTAGCAGTACAGCTCCGTCCTTCTGGTGGTTCTGATCCCACATCCATTGAATGAGTTCCACAGGGTAGCGTTTTAGTTCCTTTTTTCTTTGTATCGTATATCAATTATTATAGAATCCTAATGCTCTGGACATTGTTGGACTGTCTCTTCAGTTGGGGACAGTTGCTCTGGAGAGGCAGACCGAGGTGGTGGTTCCATTTTTTTAAAGGTGGGATCGGAGTGGGTGCTCCGATTATCGGGGTATCGCACAGCTCGGCTTCACCCAGGAAAGTTTATTCTAAGGTTCTGGAAAGGAGGCTGTGACCGATTGTTGAACCTCAGATCCAGGAGGAGCAATGTGAACTTCGTCCTGGACGTGGACCAGCGTACTAGCTCTTTACCCTTACAGGTCTGTTGGAGGAGTCATGAGTTTGCCCATCCAGTCTACATATGTTTTGTGGACTTGGAGAAGGCTTACGACCGTGTACCCTGAGTAGTCCTGCATCAATATTGGGTACCAGTGTCTTTGCTACGATCCATCCGGTCCTTGTATGACCAAAGTGAGAACTGTGTCCGTTTACTCGCAACAAAATCTATCATGTTTTCAGTGTTGGTCCCATGGATCTTGTTTCTAAATTTTCATGGACAGGAGTTCAAGGTGCAGCCGGGGGAGGAGAGTCTCCGGTTTGAGGACCGCAGAATTGAGTCTCTGCTCTTTGCAGATGATGTGGTTCTGTTGGTTCCTTTAGAACGTGACCTTTAGCAGCATCAGGGCGGTTGTCTTAGTCAAGCGTGAGAGTCAAATGTAGCATGAGATAGACAGGTGGTTTGGTGTGACCTCAGCAGTGAGGCGGTTTGGACTTGTGATCAGGATCCTCCTGGATGTCTCCCTTACGAGGACCTGGTAAGAGGCCCCGGGGTAGACCCAGAACAACCTGGAGGGATTATACTGTATATCTCATGTGGCCTGGAAAGGCTTCGGGGTCCAGAAGGACGTCTGGAAGTCCCTCCTAAGCCTGCTGTCCTCAGGACTCTGTCCAGGATAAGCGAATAGATATCGGATGGATGGATGAAATAAATGTAAATAATGATTTGGAACGCATTAAACACTTTCTCTTCATTCTTTCATTCCTCTAGTCGGACCCTGACCTGCCCCCGGACCACGGCAGCCCCTCCCCTACTGACGAGGTGTTTGACTCAGCCCCGCCCCCCTATATGCCCCCCCAGCCCTCAATCGAGGAGGCACGGCAGCAGATGCACTGCCTTCTGGATGACGCCTTCGCCCTGGTGTCGCCGTCCTCGCAGGGCAGCGCCGGGCTGAGCGGGGTAAGCCCCGCCCTGCCCAGCCCCTCTCCCCAGGCCCGCCCCCCCCCCAGGCAGGCAGTGGGGCTCTTACCCAGCTGCACCCTCCCAAAGCCCCTTCTCTGCTGTGAGTGTGTCAGACATTTTCAGTCTGTCATGACTCCATGTTCAGTTTTCATTTTCCTCTTCTTTCGTTCTTTCTGCAGAGATACGCAGAGCTGGGAATGTCTCCAACATCAGTCCAGGGCCTGCTCCATAGGTCAGTGTCAGTGCAATTTAAAACCAGGTCCATGTCTGTAATCTGGACCTGAACCAGTGCTGATTATCTGTGTGTTTCATACAGGCAGGGTCTAAGCTCAGCAGGGTATGTTTCTACTGGAGAACAGCTGCAGGAGTCGGTTCACTCCAGTAGAGGGCCGTACGAGGACCCCCCCTCCTCGTCCAGACCACGACCTGTAGGGGGCAGCACAGGTACAGTCATCTGCATACGCAGCACCATTGCTGATTTTGACATCCTGCTACACTGAAACTCAATATCACTTAAATGCGTGTTTCTCTTCCTCTTCTGTCTCATTTATTGACCTCCAGGTGCGCAACTCCACCATTTGACCCAGGTGGGTTTGTCCAGTCAGATTGGCGCGTACCCAGGGGTGGGTCGCAGCATGTCTGGTCCCACTGGCTCCAGCTGGAACCAGCAGCACTCAGACCAGGACCTTTCCAGACCAGGAGCCAGCAGAGAGAGTGTGAGTCTATAGTGGGGAGCAGTAAAATCAAGAGTCCAGTCTAGACATGCCCTGAACTGTCAAGATAAATCCTTTCGATTCCAATCCGGAAACAGTGCTGAGCAGTCCATGCAGACCAGTTCAGAGAAGTACTGATCAAACCAGTCCAGTCTAGAGCAATTGAAGCAAGTCGACCCTGCTGACCCTCATGTTGTTCAGTTACGAGTCTACTAAGGATGGTAGCTGTTAAACAACAACTAATGTCGGTAGTCATCAATTTCTTTGCAGTTTCTCTTCATGTCTTTCATCTGGATCTATTTTCTGGTCTTGGCCTCACCCTCTGTCTCTCTCTCTCTCCCTTTGTCCTACAGGTGCTGTCGTTTCCTGAGTTCTCCTCTTCCTCTGTTTTCCAGATGCCCAGCTCCTCGTTACGGGACCCATCGGCTCCACCTCTCCTTCTGACCTCACCGACTCCAGAGTACCCGCCAGAGGACGCCTCACCCTCTGCCCACACCTCTGCCTCCCTTATAAAGGCTATCAGGGAGGAACTGCGACGTCTGGCCCAGAAACAGACTGCAGTGACCAGCTACCCTTAGACTGGTCTGGACCTGCTTGGATCAAAACTAAACTGGTTTCAACCAATATTGTTTTAAACCACTTAGAGCCTGTAAAGACTGGATTAAAACCCTATAACTAACTGATCCACATTCTGGACTCTCTTGAGCTAATCTACGTCTGTGCCGCTAAACCCAAAATGACTTTCGACCACAATCCACGCCTGAAAAAAAGACTGTCTCCTGACTGAATGACCTCCGGTACTTTACAGGGTCCCGTCTGTCTGTCCGTCATCCTTCAGCTCAGTGCTTCATTAGACATTAGGGTTTGACTCTTCACGTTTCCATTAAAGTGCTTCCTGGAGTGGATCATTCGATGATCATCCTTCCTAAACCTCCAGAGTAGATCATCCATCTTGACCTTCTGGAGTGGATGGTTGCTCTCAACCTTCTGGAAGAGATGATCCCTCTGGGATTGATGATTAGATGGTCCTTCCTGGCCTTCTGGAGTAAATCATCCCTCTTGACCCACTGGAGTCGACTGTCCTTCTGGAGTGGATGGTTGCTCTCGACCATCTGAAGGGAATGGTCCCCCCATGACCTTCCAGCGTGGATCATCCCCCCTGGAGTTCTACAGTGGATGCTCCCTTCTGGCCTTCTGAAGTGGACTTTCCCTTAACTTCTGGAATAGACCCTCCCCCGAGATGGTCTTGAGTGGAACATCCTTCCTGACCTTCCTGGAGCGGATGGTCCCTCCTGACCTTCTAGGGTAGTTCATCACTCCTGAAGTTGTTTCATCTCTCTTGAAGTTTTGGAGCATGACCTTCCAGAGTGGCCATTTAGTCTTGAAAATCTGGAATGCATCATCTCTCCTTACCTTCCAGAATGAATGATTCTTTCTGGAGTGAATGGTCCCTCCTGACCCTCTAGAGCAGATCATCCCAGAAGATTGTCCCTCATGACCCACTGGAGTGTATGGTCCCTCTTGAAATTCTGGAGTGGATCATTCATTTGGAACTCCTGAAGAGACTCATCTTTTCGTACATTCTGGATGGATCTTCCTTCCAGACCTTCCGGAAGTCAATGGTCCCTCCTGACCTTCTGGATTCAGTCGTCCCTCCAGAAGTTCTGAAGTCGATTGTCACTCTGGACCTTCTGTGGTGCTAATCGCCAGCCTCATAGCATCTCCTCATTGACCACTTATTGCCTTCCACACACCCATCAGCCACAGGGATCAGGTCTCCGTTCATAAACCATATCAATGAGGTCTTTGGACTGTCAACAGCTGGAGGTGGCGTACAGTTCTTACGGCAAGGGGACGCAAAACAGTAAAAAAGTATATATAAATATCTATAAGAATTAATATGAATATCTGTAAAGAGATAGAATCCCAATGAGCACAATATTAATGTAAGAGTTATTATTGGAGTATTGAGATGTTACTTATTTTTTCTTGCTTCTATATGAAAGTATACTTTAAATATTTTTATTTTGATCAAAAAAAAAGACCTAACTACTGTTCTATGGTTGTAATCTTCTTGTGTTTGAGCTCTCTGTAGACTTTGAGCCGGCGCTTGATTCTCTGTGGAGACGTTGCTTAGCGTAGCTGCTCGCTCGTGTGTTCGTGTATCGGTGGCATTGAAAAAAAATAATTGCGCTAATGCTAATTGCTTTGATATCAAGTTTTTTTCATTGCTGATTTGTTGCATCCATCAGTGTATGGGCAGAACGCTATAGATGAGTTCATCACCTCACAGATGGGTAAAAATAAACGGGGAAACCAGTCGTTCATCTCAACCAGAAACTAAAGGTATACATGAGTTCCCCCTAGAGGACGAAATGTTAATTGTACACAAGAAATAAAAGATTGTTACCACTAATTGAAAGTTTTTTAGTGTAGCAGTGAGAGGAGACAACTTAAAACCTCTTTTTTTCGGCCTAGTGGGTCGCCAGGGAAACAAAATGGGACCCAGGGCAGAACCTTGGGGTACACCACAGTACACCACTGCCTCAGTAGTGCCCCGCTGTTATGTTCATTACATACTTCTCTATTGCAGTTGCTTATTAGTGTTGCATATCATCTCGTCATGCAGGATGCATAGAAATAAGGATAACTTACTCCTATGGACTTCTTGGCCCATTATGTTTAAGGGAACTCCAAACATTTTGATTCAGCCTTAATCTTCATGTGCTGGTTGTACAGCTGAATGACTGGTTCCTCTCTCTGCTGGTTGGCTTTTTTCTCTGTAGTGTTGTGAAGAAGTCGATCACTCCTAAAAATCTGGTTTTGGTTACGAGAGGGTTTGTTCGTCTTCTGCTCTTCTTCAGCATGTTTGACTCAGTTTGAGGCTTTTAGCTACTCGTGATGTTCCAGTTAATGTTTAGCATGCTGCTAAAAAGACGTTTAAAACAAAGTTTAAAAATAGTTAAGAGTTGTTCCACGTCGAGTTGAGGCTGAGCAAAGAGATTAATCACAGTACCATGAAACCACCGCTCATCCAATCATAGAAGAAAAAAAATACTTCATATGAAACATGTTTTATTTTTTTGCATTTGCAAAATATATTTTTTAAATCTAAATGAAGATGGTTACAGTAAATATCGATATGGTGTTATATAGAAAACATATATATATAAAATATTTTATCTGTGATTGCTCTGCTGAACGGACTCAAAGATCTGCCTGGCTTTAGTGCCAACACATCCTTCACCGGCTGGAGACTTTCTGATTGGACCTAGCACCTGTCAGTCAAGCTGTATGACTTGGCCCCGCCCACAGGATCACATGGTGCTAACTCAACGACCCCCCCGAGGTGTGTCTGAAACCAGTCGCACATAAAAACACACAAAAGTTAAACCCTGCAGGTGTCGTGATTGAAGAAAGAAGTTAAACTTCTGATCTGCAGGTTTTCACAAACTTCTGCTGAATGTTTTCCTTCAATGTTTTCTATAGTTTCTGAGATTTTCTAGATCTGTGATCCTCAGTGAGAATCCAGCAGACGAGCAGTCGTTCTGGGGATGTTTACTCGTGACAAAAACACAGATTCACACCGGAACCATGGCCAGACTGACCTGGTGCCAACGTGTACTGTTAACCTGCCATCTGGATTTAGAAGTTAAAACAGCAGAGAACTCATCAGCTCGTGTGTTTTTGGTTCGTCTATCATCCGATAGTTTGAATCATTTGTTTTGGTCATGAACGAACTTCCGTACAGGTTTTGCTCTGATTCAAACCACATTCCTGTTTTTCCTCTCGGACTCTGTTTCAACACACAGCTTCACAGACTTCAGACCAGGCGTCGTCACGCCAGACCAGGCGTGATCCGGTGAAGCTGCCTCGTGGAAACAGAGGCTGAAGGAAAAGGTCTTTTAATGTTCAGTGACCTGGAAACACAGCCAGCAGTCGCACCTGTTCTTGAGCCGACAGGTGAGTGTTGTCACACGACGAGTCTGGAAGATTGTTAACAAACATTAAAAACGTGTTCAAATTCAAACTGCAGTTGTTGATTTTTATTTATTATCACTTGTTTTTCTTCTGAGGTTCAAAACGTTATATTTGGCAGTTTGTTTGTAAAATGTTGGTCAACGTCACATAAAGACAAAGTTTATATGGACGCATTTAACCTGAGAATACAATAAGAAAAGGTTCATATTAAGAAACCCTCACCCAATAAGACCAAACGATATCATGTACTACAGAATATCACGCCGACTGAGATGTTAAGAATAAAATAAAAGGTTTTTAAGAGTACAAAGTTGTAATAATTCAAGAATAAATTAACATTTAAAAATATTTTGACTTTATTCTCAATACTTTGACTTTATTTGTATAAATGTCAGATTTGAAGAACACTCGTCATTATGAGACACTTTCATTTATCATAATTGATTCACGTCAGTAAGATGATATTATTATGAGATACATTTTACATCAACTTTTGAAAAGCTTTGAACTATTTGAATCCTTCTATGAACTGAAGCTTCCAGGTGAGAACACCTTCCTCCTCCTCTTCCTCTTCTTCCTCTTCCTCCTCCTCCACTAGTTACCCACTAGTGAGGAAGACGTTGCCGATGGTACTTCCGGATTCACCTGGCAGGTAAACAGCCTCACTTTTTACCGGATTAACCGACCGATGATCCGGTGTTCACGTCAGAAGCCCCGCAGTAGAAAGAGGAGCGCGCGACGTACGGACTCCGAGTGAAACATTAACTTGTGAGTTCTTCTTCACATCAAAGAGTTTAGCGGCCACGTGAACACTTCAGGTCGGTGACGCGCTGCCAGACACGAGACGTGACGTGAAGCTAATGTTCCTACAAGTCGTCTAATATTATATTATTATTATGAATATGTGTCTGCAGGTTCTGCTTTATTAATCACACCATCGTTCGGAGATTCATTCGCGGTTCTAATGTAAACTAAAGTTTAAATGTTTCTTCATTATTAAAAAGAGTGAAACATGAAGAAAGAAGACGGAAACAAGTCGAGATGTCGTAAACGTGTCTTCTGAGAAGTCCGGCTGGTTAATAATTCATCTTGTAACTCTTCATACTTAATAACTTCACGTTTGTTGTTCGGCTGAAACCTGCTGGACTAAAGAATAACGTTTGGTTTATTGTGAGAGTTATGGAGCATAATAATACAACATGAATATACAAACACACTTTAGTCTAATTAAGTCTCAACTATTTTCAATCAAACAATATTTAAGCTTTTAGTTTAGAGAAATGTGAGAATAAATAACCATTTTGTTATTATTATTGGTATTTATATTTTTATAATTATAATAATTATTGTTGTAAACACTTTTGTTGTTGTGTTCACACTTCTGAATCCTTTAAATGAATTTAGTGGACTCAGTTCGGATTGAACAGAAATATGTAAATAAATCTGTTATATTAATGTAAAACTCAGCGTCACTAAAGCAGAACTTCACACTTCAGTAAAACTTTATTTAATATAATCTCTTCTTTAGTTTCTCCGTTAATGTGTCGATGAAGAAATATTTAAATATTCAATTCAATATATTCAATATAAGTTTGTTGTTCACTGAGTTCAGGAAATGAAAGTTGTTGTGTTTTAATTAAACATGATCATTAATAATAAATATAACATGTTTTTATTCATCTTTCAGAAGCTTTAAACGTTGAAAGTCATTAAAACGATGTAAAGTGTTTCATAATGCTAGTTATTGATAACTTTATGATGATAGATTGTGAGATGGGAGATCTCATGAAGACTCAGCTGGTCAACGCCATCCAGCTGCAGGAGGTGGAGCTGCAGGAGAAGCCTGCAGACAAGCAGCAGGGCAGCAAGAAACCACCTTATGGTGAGCTCAAATCAATAATCAATAAGCAGACGAGAGACGTGTTTATGTTTCTAGTGTGTCGTTCCTCCTCCGGCCACCAGGAGGCAGCAGAGAGTCACAGACAGGCTATGAGAATCATCAGCAGCCAATCAGACGCCTCCTCCCTTTACCAACCAATCACATGACTCATGTCATAACCAGGAAGTGAGGGAGGAGGAGGAGGAGAGGAAGACAGGAGGAGGAAGAGAG